AGCTGGTGGTAAAAATTGCTGTACAATGTGTCTCTAGACTATAGTGGGAAATATCTTTTTTGGGAAATAGGATGGATCAATGTGATTTTTCTCTCCATGTAAAGTTGTTATTGAAATAACAACTTATCTTGTTTTGCAGTCCTAAAGTAATAAATACAACATTTATGGCTCACAATAAATTGAGAGCATCCCGTTTCCTGTGGTATCAGGCATGTTCATATTCTTTTAAAGCCTCAGGCAGAGTGACATCAGCAGATTTTTTCATTTTCTAATCTAGAAGCTTCTAATTTCTTTCTGTCAAAGAACCTGCATTTTGGTACTGAGCAGATCTTCAGGGACCCTTTTTAATATGACTCCATTTTGTAGCACCTCTTTTAAATTGTCTTAAACTTCAGTTCTCTCAGGAGACAGCATGATAGAGTGGAAAGAGCATGAGCTTGGAGTTTATATACAGTACTTTTTTTTTTGTTAGGGTCTTTGGTCCACATTCAGATTCTTGACCCATTGGCAATCTGGAATTTCTCTGATACCAGACTCAGCCACTGGAGCTGTTCTTGTGATGCTTCCTTGTGTACCAAAGGAATTCCTCACTTAGTCTTTCTAGAGGGTACTAGTCCATTACCCTCTCCCCCAAACACACACACACACACACACACACCTTTGGTTCTTCTTGATGTAGTAAAGTTCCCAGGACTGCTTTAAGTTTTTGTCCTCTCCTGTACTGCATCACAGTGATTCCTCCTCTTGCACTTGCGTGATGATCACACTGAAGAACCATCTCAGCTCATCTGTTGGTTTAAGAATGCCAGATACTCATACGAAGAATAACCTTCAGTTTTTCCTACAGGACAAAGTCTGCCTGCCTGGGCACAGTGAGTCAGTCTCTCCTATTCAAACATTTGCCACTTATTTATTAAACAAGTATTTATTGAGTACCTTTTATCTACAAGAGTCTGTGCTGTGTGCTGTGCAAAAGAAAATGGTGAATTATCCATGACTTCAAGACATTTATAATCAAGGAAGAAAGATAAGACAAGCAGTTTTGTGTGTGGTGGGATAAGGTCGTGGGTGGTATTGTGTTTGGCCTTCTATTTTTTTAAGGTGGGCAGGGATAAAATGAGCAGATCTTTGGAGGGGTAAAGTTCATTGCGTCTTTTAGGAACAGCAAAATAGGCAGTTTGCTAAGAATAGAGGCAGCATCAAGGGCATGATGGGAGATAACCTTTTCCTCAATTAACCACCACATTGTTCCTTTGGCTTTCAAATGAGGTGCCATCTCAATTTACTTGAGATTCTTTTGGTGTCTCTATCAACTGTCCCAGTGCTCAGGGTATTGCCTGCTGCTTCTACTTCTCACCCTGCTCATATAGATAATCTTGTCCACTCTCATTCCTTCTATTACCATATATATCTTTAGTCAAAGTCACTATCTGGAATTCCAGACATGTATTTCCAGCTGGGCCCTGGACACTTCCACCTGGACTCTGACCACTATCTCAGATTGACACATCCAAAACTACACTCAGCTCCCTCCCTCCTAAACCTGTACCTCCTGCTGCATTCCATCTCGGTGAATGGTACCACCTTCCACTGGATGGCTCAGGGCAGAAGTGTGGCACCATCTTTGACTCCTCCCTTCCCTTTGATTCTCCATCTGCACTGCGCGATCTTGGTTCCGGTTGTCATCGTCACTGACCTGCGTTCCTGAAGAACCCTCCCTGTCTCGCTAGTTTCAGGCTTCCCTTTGACCATTGCCTTCTTCACACTGCAACCAGAATGATCAACATACCTTCTACAACATAAATCAGGACACATCAGTTCTCTTCTTAAAATCCTTTAATGGCTTCTTATGGCCCATAGGATAAAATCCAAATTCCTTAAATAGCTTAAAAGGCCCTTGGTGATCTGGCCTGTACCTCACTCCTGAACCTCCTCTCTCGCTGTTCCTCCCGTGGAGTGTTGCCTCCCTGAACTGCTTTCAGTTTCCTATTCTGGTCCTGTTCTAGCACGTGAGGCTTTTAACATGCTGCTTCTTTTGCCTACATTCTCCTCCCTATTTTTGCCTGGTTGCTTTTTATTTCTCCCCTAGATCTCAACTTGAGTGTCACTTCCTGTACAAAGCCTTCTCTAATTCCCTCAAGGCTAGGTTAGATGCCACTATTTTATGCCTGTTTTAGGGAGCACATACAAGCCCAATCATGTGATGATTGCCTGTTGAATTGTCTTTCTTCCCTTCTAAACTGTGAGTTTCCTGAGGATGGGGAGTGTTGGGCTTATTCACCAGTGTATCCCAGACACCTAGCATAGTGCCTGGCATGTTATTTATCAAGAAACGTGTCTTTTATTATACCACCGATATTTACCAAGAGCTGTTCTTTGCCTCTTGATCCTAAGCTTCTTCAGGTCAGGACCAAATCTGGTTCATTGTACCGTACCTGACATTTTGTGTTGAATTTGTTTCATCAACTACTTTTGGGAGCTTTATGGTACCTGAACTTATAAAAACATTATATGGATGTAAATGTTAAAAGTTATATTAGATGAGACTAGGAAGTAATGTGATTAATTTAATAAATGTGCCGTAAAGCATGCATCGAAATGAATGTTGTCCATTCAGTGTTGTCTGAAGTGAGGAAGAGAAAGCATTGGAGCATTTGCTTTAGGGTCAGGCGGGCATGGGTTTGAATTGCAGCTCTACCACTTAGTGACACTGTGACCCTGGGCAAGTCAGTTTCCTTCTCTGTGCCTCAACTTTCTCATCTGTAAAATGAGAATATAATGCCTGCCTTGCAAGGTGTTACAAAGTTTAAAGGTTTATGAAAACAACTGCCATAGTGTCTGGCATATGGTAGTTGTTCTATGAAATTTAAGTTATTTTTTCTCTTATTCCAACAATGCTGCTATTACTGAGACATTTTTGGAATTTCTTTTTTGAAATAGTTTTCAGAACTTGCTGTGGACTATCAGAATATATCAATGGGAGAAATATTTTTCTTTGAGGACATGTTTGATTTTTACAAATAGCTTGGTTCAAAGAGCAAGATCGATGATTAATACCATTTTTGATATTTAAAAAATTAAGTACGGTTATTATGAGATTTTCTTTTGTAGTATCTAAATTGGTACATAGTCTGGCTTTCTCACAGATGGCATTGACAGCATATTCCATTTGGTACGTTAAGATCCAAGGAATTAACTATCAAGAAATCTTTTGATTTTGAATAGTGCTGTGATGAATCAAGCAGTATCAGTAAGCTCAAGAGAGCTAAGGTCTTTAATAATATACTTAATCACAAGTTAACCATCAAAATTTTACTTCTAGCAAAAAAGAATTTAGGAAAAAATGATCCAAGAATACCCATATTCTTGTATGTATATGGGGCTATTCTCTTTTCAGCTAGGTCCATGAGAATCAGTCTGGCTAAAATACAGTAAGGAAGATGGTGTCTACTAATGACCCAAAGGAGCCTCCACAGGATGTGTTCGTGGGATAAGAGATTGGAGACAGGTTATTTCATCTACTAGGAAGAAAACATGAAAGCAAGTGGTTGGAGGAGAACAGTCATGTGTCTGGAAGCGGTACCCCCAGGCGGTGTGGAAGCTGGATTGAGGATTAGCCTAGTCCAGGGGGATCCAGTGACAGTGCCCAGGTTACTACAAGGAACCTAGTTTTATTTTGTGATCCAGTGGTTACTGAAGATTCAGTATTTTACCTCATTATTGTATAGAAGGTCATGAATGTGAGGTATCAAGTCAACTAGAAAGGGTTATTGACATGTTAATTATTTTTAAATATTTTACTAGTTTGTATCCTGAATTTACCTCATCTTGTGTGTGTGTGTGTGTGTGTGTGTGTGTGTATATATAAAATAAGAAATGTATATGTTTATTGATGTTAGAATGATTCACTGACAGCAATTGATGGAGAGGCATGTGGGAGAAGAGCAAAACATGAATATTTGTGAATCTTGGGTGGGGGAGGGGAGAGAAGCTTGTACAGCTCCCTTTTGCCAGAGGGTCATAGTGGAGCAGTGTCACTCAAGCAAGTGGGGACTGAGGCTGGCAGTAAAGGCGCCTTGTGGGCCAGACTTCACAAGGGGTTGGTCCCCCTAAGATCTTTGTTATAGGAAAGCATGTGCTTTTGAGGGACTGGCGTCATTATCATTTTAATGAAACGTTGTTCTTAGGTTTCGGATGGGCAGCACTGACATTTCCCCTTGGACAGTGCTTGCTTATTGAAGCTGACTGCTCTGTGAAATGTAGGGGTTGTTCTCCAGCCTGGCTATGGAAGAAAATGATTGAGCAGCCTTTGACTGCAACTATGGCAAAAAGCAAAAGGTTGTTTCATTTCTTTTAGTTCAACCTTAAATATTAAAATTAGGTTTGAATTACTGTAAAAATGCAAAATTCAAGGTCTTGAAAAAGGTCTAGAAAGAGAATTTAAGTGAAATAACCCTTTTCTGCTTTTAATTCTTTGCTATAAATTGTGTACTGGTCATTCTTTCTGGGTATTAGTTTTCTTAACTGTTGTTAACCAGGTTGAAGTTATGATCTTAGCAGTGCCAGCAACATGCATTAGAATTGACTCATACGAGGAGAAAATTCTGGAGCCCAGTAGGCAAGCAGCCATTTAAAGTGCTCTTATGGTATAAATGGCATAAACATATTAACGCATTTTATATTAATCACATCTGTAAAATCCCTTTTGCCGAGTAAGGTAACATAGTCTCAGGTTCTGGGATTAGGATATGGACATCTTAGAGGGAGGGGGTATTATTCTGCCTACCATGATATGGAAGTACTTAACACAGGATTTCTTTCAGAGAAAATATTTTTCAAATGTGCCCATGATTTGTTACAGATCTTTAAGAAGCTTTCACTTGGGTATTTTATAGGGAAGAGTTATACATATTTTAAAAAAAACAAAACCAGTTTTATTTGTTTGGATCTCAATTTACTTATTAAAGCTAACGTCCATTCTCTCTTGTTTACTTTAATAGTGATAACCTACTAAGGAGAGCAGCCTGTCAGGAAGCTCAGGTAATGCCATTTCTTGTGATACAGTTAAACCCACGTTAGCTCCATTGTGCAGAAAACTCAGGCTCTTCCACAGGACCTGCACAGTGCTTGGCATCAGTGCTGTTTGGATGTTTTTTCCATCGGGATGAATCAGGCTGAGAGCCAACTCTGAATAGAACTCGAGGAAGCTAACCATCTGGTGAAGAGCAGTTCTAACGCCCACCCCTTTAGACTTGTTTACTTCTGGATTAGTCCTAAGAACACAGAACTGGACTGGTTGGAGCTCTGGGAATTTGTTCACTTCTGTGGTTGTCTTGAAGATCTGTCTAAACCCTGATTCAAATAATCATTCCTGATCCAAATAATCCCCAAGGATATCAGTTCAGAACAGGTGTTACCTCTCAAAGTCAAATCTTCTTAAAACTGTTGATTCATATTTTTAAAGCTTGTCTGTTTAGCCCAACTGATTCATACCATGTGCATTGTTATCCTAGTCCCGTGATATTGCACTTAAATATTCATACATCTGGCTGTATTAGTTATAGTTGAATTGTAAATCCTTTCAAGTTTAAGACCATATTTTTGTTCTTCCCTCCTCTCCAAATTTGTACGTTATAACTTGCAGATGAATTTCCATGACTGAGTTGCCTTTTTGTTATATATCATTTAAGCTTATGATATCAGAAATACCAAAAAAGAAACATGAAATAAAAAATGACAAAGGTATGATGTATTTAGTAGGAGAGGAGGGTGGCAAACTTCATGTTTGTTTCTGAAATGTTTTCATGGATGACAATGGCAATAGTCAATACTATTATAGACAATACTATTCATAAATTCTTCTCTTTAGTGAATGTCTAACTGTTCTAAATCTGTTTAAGAATTTGTTACTTTTTTTTTTTTTAATCTCATATGGCTCTAAGTTGTTTTGGAAATCAATTTGAATAAACCTTAATATTATGTTCAAGGTGATCGCCACTCCAAGCTAATTTTCCATTAGCAACTGGAAAATCCTCTGGGGAGGGGAACCCTTGCTTCCTCTCTTTAAGGAAGAGTGGTCATAGGGTCCTCCCTTTCTTGTTTAAGGTAAATACCTCCACCTCTGTTCCAAGTTCTGTCTCCTCTTACTTCTTCAGAGACCATGTTTCTCTAGTTGTTTCCTCCCTCTCATATATTTACCACTCCCCACTGTTCTAGTTCTCCACTTCCCAACAGACATTTAGCTCCTTCGTCTGACAAAAGAAAGTGAATTCATCCTTATAACCTCCTCTAGTTACTTTTCCTGTTTGTCCTTCCTTTACAGCCTAAATTCTTGAAAGAATATGATTTTTTATCTCACATAAACTCAACTCACTGTAGTCTTACATAAACTCTTTAATCCACTGTAAATCTGAGACTTGAGTTGCACATGGGTAAGAATTCTAGAGGCTAAGAAACCAGGACAAGGAGGAATAATCTGGAACTGTAGATCTGCAATCTGGTAGGCCAGAGAACCTGGTTAATTAAATAATTTCTGGCTACATTCCAGAAATAGTATGCATAGAAAAAGAACAAATAACAATATTTGAAGATTTGGCTTCAAAATGTTAAGGTCTAATTCAGTAAGAGTGAAAACAGAGTAGTAATTATAATGTATGAGAAACTTTTTACAAAGAAACAGCATGTCTTTCTGAAGTATTCAGAACAAGTTTATTTTTTTAAAGCAAGAAATAGACAATGGTGAGAAACGATCCCCAGTGGTCTGTCAGGGAGGGAGTGGATTTAGGTCATTTAATAAAAATCTTAGTATAACTTTCATTTTTCTCCCGTCTTTACTTTGCACTTCTATACTTGAATTCTGCCTTCTTGGCCTAGACCTGCTCCCCACCATCTAAGACTCGAAATTTAGCCCTTTTTGGTGCTTTCCTACTCTCATTCTTGTTGATCGTCTTCTCCAATCCAGATGTGATAGCAATAAGTCCCAAAAGTTCCCGCTTTGACTCCTCACATCTGGTCCCCTGTGCCTCTTACTTCTGCCTCATCCTTTGTCTGCTCTTTAGAGCTGATGGAGTAGAAGAGGTTTGGATTTTGGAGTTAGATGTAAATTCTTGGCTTGTAATTGATTAACTGTGTGAGTTTGAGTGACTTAATCTTTCTGAATCTTGGTTTTCTAATCTATTAAAATGAGAATATTTAATATCTCCTAGGTTTCTGAGCACTAAAAATAATGTGTGTGAAAGTGGCAAATGCTAAGTGCTTAGTGAATATTAATGACATTTCTTTTCCTGTGCCAGTTGATACTATTTAGTTGTCATACAAGGTTGCAGAGACGAGGAGGCAAATAGAGTATTATGGTTTTTTTTTATATGTATAAAGATATGAAGATTAATTGGTAACACAGAGGTTCTTTATGAGTAAGCTTTAGTAATAAAGAGAAGGAGAAAAAGATTATACTCTGAAAACTAAAGACAAATGGATTAAATGTCCCTTCTGATAGACTTATGGCTTCACTGGTTATGTGTTTATAATAAACCTAGCCATATCTTATAGAGAAAAGAAAAGTTACTTACCTCTAGTAGGTGAAGCAGGATTTTTTATTACAATACAAAATTCAGCTTATTGTCATTAGATAATGGTACACTTTTGTTGTTGTTGTTTATGGTGTTTTTGTCAATATGAAATTATGAAAGAACATTTTTTTCCCCAGAGTAGACCATATCTGCTGAAAGTAAGTTCTTTTGGAATGAAAGAATATATGTGATCACTAACTGAATAAAAGAACATTTACTTAAAAAGTTTCTTTTCTCCTTTTTAGGTGTTTGGCAATCAACTCATTCCTCCCAATGCACAAGTGAAGAAGGCAACCGTCTTTCTCAATCCTGCAGCTTGCAGAGGGTAGTTCAGTGTGTGATTTGTTACATGTTTAGTTTTTCGTAGGGGAAAAAAAATCACAGAATATCGGATAGCTAGTTGAGTTGTATGGAATTGGAAAAACTAGGTTCAATTCTCTTCTAACAATAAGATTCATTTGTAATGTACAAATAACAGTTAATGAGATATAACTCTAAAACTAACTGATGCTTAGCAGGCTTGTCTAATTGAAGTTTAATAATCATTCCAGAATTAACGCTCTTAAACAAGTCTTCTCTACTTGGCAGTAGTCCCCTTGGGAACAACTCCTGCTGCTGTGATGTAAATTATTAGGCCGTCCCTGTTACAAGATGTTCAGAGATGGCCACGAGCACTGTGGGTTTGCAAGGTCAGAAACGTTCTTTCCAAAAGGAGTGACACTTGAGCGAGGTCTTGGAGGTCAGCAGAGGGAGAACACACAACCTTCCAGACTGAAGAAGTGGCCCAGGGGCAGGGAACTAGAGATGGGAGTGTCCAGTTATGTCCCTTGCTCTGACATAAGACAGTCAGTACATTGCGCTGGCTGGCCTGGAAAGGTCATGTGAGGGAATTGTGGGAATTAGGGTTGAAGAGTAGTTGGGACTTTGGTTGATAATGATGTGTTCGTGTTCATTTATTGTAGCAAATGTACCACACTGGTGTGGGATGCTGAATGTGGGGAGGGCTGTGTACGTGTGGCGGGGCAAGGGGTATGTGGGAACTCTTTGCACTTTCTGCTCATTTTTACTGTGAACCTAAAGACTACTCTAAAAAATAAAGTCTATTAATTTTAAAAAACTACCACAAGCAAAAAGAAATTTTTTGTAGTGTTAGATGCAATTCAGTGGGAAAGGTGAATGACAAGACCTTGATGGCTTTTAGGAGGAATCATTTAAAAATTTTTAAATTATTTTTAAAAAAATAGTAAGAATTAGGGGCCGGCCTGGTGGCGCAAGCAGTTAAGTGCACGCGCTCCGCTGTGGTGGCCCGGGGTTCGCCAGTTCGGATCCCGGGTGCGCACCGACACAGCGCTTGTCAGGCCATGCTGTGGCGGCGTCCCATATAGAGTAGAGGAAGATGGGCATGGATGTTAGCCCAGGGCTGGTCTTCCTCAGCAAAAAGAGGAGGATTGGCAGATGTTGGCTCAGGGCCAATCTTCCTCACCCCAAAAAAAAAATAGAATTAAAGGGTTGAAGGGGGGGATAAAAGGCTGATACCTTTTATTCTCCCTAATGACCAGAACAATTCTTTTTGTCCTTTCTGAGGATCAGAAAATTAATAAATACATATTAGATTGGGTTCTATAAGATCTAAGTCAAATGACATTAAGATAATGAGAACAACAATCACAAAAGGAATAGTTGGTAGCAGCTTGTGAGTTATAAGGTTAATATTGTCTGGAGTAAAACACAGGGGCTCTGAAATAAGTTTCTCTAGTCATTTCTTGGGAGGCAGTGAGTGTGGCTTTGCAGATATGAGGACTAGTGATGCCTTATCTCTTTTTAATTCAGCAGTTTAAGATATTTACCTATAGATTGTCTAAACCACACCAATCATAATGCCTGTTGATCGTTCTTGTTTAATACCAATACTAAACAATAGCAATAAATGAATAGGTCCTAAGACCACACGGTCAAAATACCCAAGATAACTGGGATTGTCAGTGGTGGTGTATGGCAGAAGCAGCAGAGAAATCTGGACTTCAGAGTTTGAGGGAACAGGTTTTTATATTCTGTTGCTCTGTGATACTGTGGGAGTTACTTAACTTCTTAAATCCTCAGTTTACTCATCTGTTAAATGGGAACAGTAATAGCTCAAACCTTATAAAATTACCATATAGAATAGATGCCTTTAGGATTTAATGAGATAATGCAAGAAGTGTTAGCATTATGTCCATTTCACAGTAAGCACTGGATAAAAGAAATATAAGCTGCTGTTATTGTTATTGTTGACCTGTAGGCTAGGTTCAGAACATTCTCTACTTTGCTCTCCCTCCCTTCCAAAAGCACTTGTATCTCTCTTGCTGCCTACCATAATTTAACTGTTCTAAGTCTTATTCCTTTAGAGACCTAGTAAGTTAGTAACTTGTAAATTCTAATGAAGGAATATATGGCTATTTGTTTAAGCTATAACCAGTCATTTTGTGTTCCTACTTCTAAGAAATGTTACATTTTAAAAAAATTAGTAAACTATTTTTTAGAGCAGTTTTAGGTTCTGCTTACATTTTTACATGTAAATGTATTTGCATTTTTAAAAGTATAATATCTTTATTTAAAGGTGAGGCTAAGGGAAGCCTTTCTTTTCTACAGTCATTGTCCCCTTTAACAAGGTGAATCCTTGCATGCTTCTAGGAAGTAGCCACTCTGAAACTCTCCAGCATCTTTTTTTAACTATTTAATTGCACTATTTTTGTCATCTTGGCTCTGCCCAGACATATAATTTATAATTTATCATATAGCTATTTCATTATGTAGTACTGGTTCAAAACTACATAAGAGCCTTAAGAAATAAAATAACTGGTTAGCCTTAATAAATAATATGTTAAGGAGTAATTATTTTTTGTGTGTGTGAACCTGAAAATTGCTGTAAGTATATAAAGTTTTTATTTAGCTCTGGTGTTGGCTCACCTTTAATTATATAATAAATAATGCATTTCTTACTGGTAACACTGTTTTTCAATCTTTTATATGGAACATTAGAAGGAAAACAAGTCTTCACTTTCGTTTTAGAGACTTTCTGTGCCCATAGCATCACAAAAAGGCCCGCATGTCCAAATCTTATTTCTTCAGCTCGCTTGTTGAGGCTTACAGATTTGTTGTAAGTGATTAATGTAGCAGATTGAGACTTCTCCAGAGTTTGCTTATCAGAGATAGGTCCGATCCACTTCCAGCTGATCCTTTCTTATCAATCTAGTAATGAAAGCCACGCTGGGAGGAGACAGGTTTGCAGTGTCACTAGCTCACCCGTTATTGTTGAGTTAAGCCCCAGAAATGGTGAGCTGGAAAGGAGACACTTCCATGTAGCCTTTCATGATCATTCTAATAAGCATTCAGAGCAGTAGAAAAGGTAGGGGAAATTTGTTTAATTTGCTTATTACCTGTCCAGGTAGGCCCTTGGTGTAAGATATTCTTTTGAATTGTTCTTGTGAAAATTTGTCCAAGCTTCTCTATTTCTATTTTAATTCGTGATAAGAAACGTTTTGTGTTCTGTCTGCCATTTGGTGGTTATTTCTTTTAGTTTAAAGAATGTTGAATTTGGTCTGTGCATAACTACACATGCTCCTCATTCGCTACCTTTGCATCTCTTTCTAGTATAACATATTCTTAAGAAAGTCAAAGCATGTGTCACTGGTAAAAAAAAAAAAGTAATCTTTTTGAAAGAGGACTGAGTAAATGTGGATGTAAAAGTTAGATGTTTGGCATTAGCTGTTTTGAGAGTACTTGTTTTTTCCTGATGTGGTAGTTGAAAATATTTGGGTAAAAGACAGGTCAACTGATTGGTATGTTTAGCATTTATTCAGCTTTGAGACTGTGCCACTGGGGACTTTTTGCAACTTCTGCATCCCTTGATTCCTAGGCCGTGTTTTTGAATCCTGACCTGAGTTGGACAAGAGTCACTATCAGAATGATGTGTATAATACTTTTAAAACACACAAGCTCGTCTCAGGACTGTTTAACCGTTTCTGTTATTACAAGACATCACAGTCGTGCTATTTTCTTCTCCTCAGCATTCACGTGTCTACGTTTGGGGCAAGTTATTCATTCATTTGTTTGTGCATTAGTATATCAGATACTTATTAAGTATCCTCTAAGGATGCCAGACATAATCCTAGAGGCCAGGGGATTCAAGGATTATTAAGATCTGCTGTCTCTTTTTGTATGGCTTCCAGTCTAGTTCCAAAGACTGTCTTGCAAATCACCAATCATCATGTAATGTGAAAGCTCCTAACAGAGGTGTGTCCAGATATACAGAATGATAGGGCAGCACAGAGAAGGGCACGGCTGTGCCTGGGAGTGTCGGACAAGCTGCTTAGTATCCTATAGTTACATTAGATAATTTTGAACTTTTCCCTTTTCCAGCAGAAATTCTGCCTTCATGGAAAAGAATTTTGCTCTTTATTCAGGGATTTCACTACAGGGTTTAAAACTTAAGAAATGGAGATACTCCTAGTATTTGAAATTGTTCAAAATGATGTATTTCTACCCCAAAGGTTGTGTCCCTTGACTTAGAATTAAGCAATATTCTGTTTGATTCAATCTGTTCCCTCGGGCCATATGAAAAATGTTATAATAAATACATTCTCCTCCTTCTACCACTAGAATATAAGTAAGTTCCAGGAGGACTTATTGCATCACACTTAAGTTACGGTATTTTTATCTGCTTTGTCACGTTGTATCTCTAGCTCCTACATCTGTGTCTAGCACATGTGCTCAATAAATACGTGTTGAATGAATCAAACACGTTGCCTGAGTAGAGCTGTATCTAGTGTGCATCTTCCTCTCAAGGAACTACTGTGAGCTGTAAGCATCCCAAATGGATAAGAGCTTGTTGTATTACACAGAGGGTAACCCCAGGAGACCCAGAGTGAAAGAGTCTACGTTTCTATCCATAGAGACTCATCACTCGTTGTTAAGCTTCCTATCCTTGGACAAATAAAGGAAACCCATGTTCCTTAGTCTGTTTCTTGTTCTACTCTAGAGAAGATTGGTTGGGCTTTTTGTTCTTTCTCTTGAGAACTTGTGTTAAAATATTTGTATTTTTTCCTTTGTCTATAGCAAAGCGAGGACTCTATTTGAAAAAAATGCTGCTCCGATTTTACACTTGTCTGGCATGGACGTGACTGTCGTTAAGGTGAGAACTGCTCCAGAGTGTTGATTTTATCCTAGCTACTGCTCCCTATAGCATGTCTTCTTCTCTTGACTTCTTAGCAGAAATCGCTTATCACTTAAGAAGACAAGAACAGAGAAATCAGTGTTTTGTTCTTGTTCTGATAATTAATAAAAGTGATTTTGTTTTTTCAAAGCATTGTCAGCTTTTCATTTTCAGAATAGAATTAGATGGAGGCGTGAACTGGATTCCTTTCATCTGAAAGATAGGATGTGGAGTTATTGTCTCTTGGAAGATGAAAGTTGTTATAGCTGTAAGAATTCTTTTCTTGAAAATAAAAAAAAACCTACAAGTTTGAGTAATTTAATTTCTTGGTAGTTCCACAGACAGGTAAATATTTTCTGTCTGGTGAGGAATGATCTCTGATGAGGAATTTTAAATGGCAAAGCTTTAGAATTTGCGAGATTTAGGAAAGAAGAAAAGGGGACAAGAATAAGTTAGAAGGAACTGTGCTATTTCAGAAGATGCCTCAAGATTCTACTTGGTTGACTTTTAAGTGACATGTGCGTAGTGTGTATATTTGGTGAAAATCACTCTTTGCCCTGTTTGTAAGTTTATGGTTTCCCTGTGTTTAGTATTACACACTTTCATTACATCAGAGAGATTAGAAGTCATTTAGTTCAATTTACCATGCAGTGTTGAACTCTCTTCTCCAACTTGTCTGAGACGTGGTGATCTTCCACTGTCTGCTTCCAGGGATGGGAGAAAGAGGAAGAAAACCAACATTTGAGTACTTGTAATGTGTATTACAGGCCCTACATATGAGAGATCCTAGAATGCTTATGTAGGACTGATATTATTTATTCCTTGAATGTTGGGTTGAACTCACAAATAAAACCATGTGGGCCTGGAGCTTTCTTTGTGGGGAAATTTTTTTGTATATTAAATTTCTTTAATGGCTCTAGAAGTACTCAAGTTCTATTTCTTCTTGATTTACTTTTGGAAAGGTAAATTTTTCAAGGAATTTGTTCATTTCATCTAAGCTTTCAAATGAACTTGATGCCAGTTGTTCATTTTATCCTCTTTTTAACTTTTAAATTTCTGTAACATTTAATTTTTGTGCTTAATATTTTTTACTTGTGCCCTCTTTTTTTCCTCTCAGTAGTCTTCTGAGAAGTGTGTCAATTTAATTAATCATTGCCAAGAACCATTTTTTGGCTTGTTGATCCTCTCATTTGTATTTGTTTCATTAATTTCTGGTCTGTCTGTATTGTTTCCTTCATTCTACTTTTTTGGGGTTTTTTCCTGCTGTTCTTTTCTGACATTTTAACTTGGATGTTTATTTCACTAATTTTCACTCTTCTTTCCTAGTGTATGCATTTAAAGCTATAAATTTCACTCTGCTGTTTCAGCTGCATCCTAAAAGTTTTGACATGTAATATTTTCATTATCATTTATTTCTAAATATTTTCTAATTTTCGTCATGATTTTTATCTGACCTATGAATTATTTAGGCATGTTGTAAAATTTCCAAATCCAATGTTTTTCCAAATCTTTCTGTTAATGATTTCTGGTTTAGTTGTGTTATGGTCAAAGGATGTAGTCTATATAACTCTAGTATTTTAATGTTTATTGAGACTTGTTTTATGGCCTAGCATGTGGTTTGTTTTCATAAATGTTCCGTGTATGCCTAAAAAGAATATGTTGTCAGTTATTGGGTACCATGTTCTGTGTATGTCTGTTAAGTCAAATCTGTTAATTGTGTGGCTCAAATCTTCTATATGCTTACTGATTTTTTCTTCTATTTTAACTATAGATTATTCAGAGAGAAGTGTTAGAAATCTCCCATTCTGATTGTGGATTTGTCTATTTCTCTCAAGTTTTGTCCAATTTTGCTTTTTATATTTTGAGACTATGTCAACAGATGCACTGAAGTTTCAAATTATTTCATTTTTTTCACATTTTGACCCTGTCATAGAGTGACTCTTTAGCACTAATATTGCCTTTTGCCACAGTCGATCTTATCTAGCATTATTAGTTCTAGCTCACTTTGGTTTGTTTTTGCCTGGTATAATTTTTACATCTCTTTACTTTCAGCCTTTTCGTATCCTTATATTTTAGATGCAACATTGGTAAAGGCGTGAAAACAAGATATTTTAAAGATCCAATCTTTTTTTTGTCTTTTGACTGGACCATTTAGTCCATTCACATTTATTGTAATTGTTGGTATATTTAGATTTATTTCTATACTAATTATTTATTGCTACATAACAAACTGCCTTGACGACTGTTTTTCTGCTTATAATTTTGTTGGTCAGCAGTCTGTGTTCAGAGCTGTTCTCGCCTGGGCTCCTCATTGCCTGTCTTTTTGTGGATTGATAGCTCATTTCTTTTTATCAATGAATAATATTCCATTGTATAGATGTACAACAGTTTGTTTATCCATTTACCTATTGAAGGACGTCTTAATTGCTTCCAGTTTTGGCAGTTATGAATAAAGCTGCTATAAACATTTGTGTGCAGGTTTTTGTGTGGATGTAATTTTTCAACTCATTTGGATAAATCTGTAGGAGTGCAATTGCTGTGTTATATGGTAAGAGTATGCTTAGCTTTGTAAGAAACTGCCAAACTGCCTTCCAAAGTGGCTGTACCATTTTGCATCCCCGCCAGCGATGAATAAGAATTCCTGTTGCTCCACTTCCTCACCAGCATTTGGTGCTGTCAATGTTTTGGGTTTTAGCCATTCTAGTAGGTATATAGTGGTCTCTCATTGTCTTAATTTGCAATGCCCTAATAACATATAATATTGAGCATCTTTTCATTTGCTTATTTTCCATCTGTATATCTTTGGCGAGGTGTCTGTTCAGATCTTTGCTCTTTTAATTGGATTGTTTCTTGTTTGTTTTCTTATTGTTGAGTTCTCGAGTTCTTTGTATATTGTGAATACAAGTCCTTTATCAGATATGTGTTTTGCAAATGTTTTCTTTTACACTGTCTTTTAAAGCTGTCTTTTCATTCTCTTACCAGAGTTTTTCATAGAGCAGAAGTTTTTCTAATTTTAAGGAAGTTCAACTTATCAATTTTTTTTTTCATGGATCTTGCTTTTGGTGATTTATCTAAAAACTCATCACCAAACCCACAATCACCTAGATCCTCTCTTATGTTATTTTCTAGAAGTTTTTTTTTTTTTTTTTACATTTAGGTTTATGATCCATTCTGAGTTAATTTTTGTGAAAGTTAGTGTAAAGTTAGTGTCTCAATTCATTTTTTTGCATCATTAGGCCACTCTTTTTTATCCTTCCTCTTTTGGTGCATTTGGAATTTTCATCTAAGATGAGAGCCTCAAATGTGTTATACCTATTAATGTAATCTTTGAAATTATGGTCTGTTAAATCTGTCAAGGTCTTTTTGCATTTTGGTTCTTTCATTCATGTACTTATTTATTAATTTTTTTGCAAATATTTATTGAGTGCCTACTATGAGGTAAGCCCTGTTCTAGGTATTGGGGATACATTCTGAACGGAATAAACTTTCCCTATCTATCCTCTTAGAGCTTCCATTCAAAGTGGGAAAGGAAGGGACGTAGATTAGAAGCATGCAAATAAACATATGATTTGTCAGATGGTGATGAATGCCAAGAAGAAAAATCAAGCAGGGTAAGGAGACCAGGTGTATGGGGGTGTTAATTTAGTTCAGAAGGTCGAGGAAGGCTGGTCTGATGAGATGACCTTTGAACAGAGACCTGAAGGAAATAAGTGAGGGGGAGAGGAGAAGAATCCAGGCTGAGAACACTGCACGTTCAAAGGCTCTGAGGCAAGAGTGTACTTGGTGTCTGAGGAATAGTGAGGAGAGGCCAGTGTGGCTGGAGTGGAATAAGTAAGAGGAGAGGGTGAGAGAAGATGAGTTTGGAGAAGTAGGAGGGGCAAGATCATCAGCTTTGTGTCATTTACGTTCAATAAATTACCTTTCATCTCCGTTGTTGATAAAGGGTTATATAGGAAAAGGCTGAAGGGAGAACGCTAAAGAAATGTCACTAAGAATGACATAGAATTTGATGTCACTCCACTGAGCATCTCACTTTGAGCTTAGACCTTCGATTGGTAATTAATTCACCTAATTATATTCTAGCGTATTGTTCCCACATTTCTCCACCTTGTCCCCAAGGATATTATCAAATAGCTTGCCAAGTGCCTTGCTGAAGATCACAAATAATGTCTGTCTGGTTTCCCAGATCTAGTAATCTGTCAAAGAAGGGGATAGTCTGCAATGCCTCATTCTTTGCGAACCCATGCTGATTCCCAATGGTCAACTATTTCTAGGTGCTCACAAACCATGCTTTTAATCAGGACTGACATAATCTTTTTTTTAGAAATGAAATATTTGCAAATGTTTAACTATAAAGCCAGTCATTTCATTTTTAGGATAAAAGTAGGACTTTTCATCATAAAATTAAATGGTGTTAGTTTAGGGACTTCCGTTTTCCTCTGTGTCAACTGTGACTTATTGGCTCAGGTGCTGTAGCCCATCTGAATTCCAAATCATTAATGTTTGCCTACTAGTGTGTCTAGTGTAGTGTCAGTTGGAGGGAATGTTTCCTTAGTTTGGTACTAGTTGCATTGTGTCTATTAAAATTCAGCGTTTGGTTTCAGAGGTGGTGGCTTAGGTGGTTCCTTTAGTCGGCTTTGTGTCTGAGAGGAAATAATCTTGATAACAATGGTGAGGCTTAGGTACTGTTTTGTGACTACTTTGAATCGTACCTGTACTTCTTTACATGTACAATCATAGCAAAACAATAATAACCTCCTTGTATTTAGTACAGTACCAATAGGAATAGCTGCCTGGCTAGTTGCTTTATATACTGCTTTACAACGGTGTTACGAAGAAACTATTATTACCCCCTCTCCCAACACATATTTCATTGATAAGGAAATTAAGATCCTGAGGGTTTAAGGCCACTCAGCTAAAAAGTAGCAGAGTTGGGATTTAATCTCGGTCTCTTGGGCTCCCAGATATGTGCTCTTTTCATTACATCTGCTTCTCCCTATCTGCATATACACTTGACTGCCTGCTTCAGATGAAAGGCACTGGATAAATGATATAATAGAATCTGCACTGGACTGGAAATGAGTCCTTTGACTAGCTAACTCTATTACTGAGACAAATCACTGGGTTTGAGTTCTATTTTTAAAGTGAGGAGCTGACTAGATGGTTTCTGAGGTCCCTTCTGGCTTTAAAAGTGTAAAACTATGAAAACTATAGATAATTGCTTTGAAGCTATTTAGTTTTTCGTGTCTATCAGTTATGTAGAATTTAAGAAAAGATTCAATGTAAAAATTTAAAGAAAGTATCCCATTTTTTTAAACCTTTGACCTTGTGGCCCTAGGATGATAAATTTACCAAAGGCTTCCTTTGTATTTCAGACAGATTATGAGGGCCAAGCCAAGAAACTCCTGGAACTGATGGAAAACACAGACGTGATCGTCGTTGCTGGAGGAGATGGCACGTTACAGGAGGTATGGCTGTTTTTCTGGTTGAAACCATTCTGAAGGTGAGGGAAATGGAAATTAGATCTTAGAGCAATGGCATAAAGTAGTTATAATTTAAGGAAATTGTTTTTTTGTAATCCATTCTTTTAGGGTTTGTTACTCTCTGAAACAAGTGTAGCATTTCATTTTTCTCATGCACTTTTATTTCATTGCTTTGTGTAAACTGTATTCCCAGAATATAGAAGGGTTTTTGTTTTATGAAATTTAAGTTTGATAAAATTGAATAAAACAGGAGATAAAATGGTAGTGGGTATGATAAGGTTTTTATATTCTGGAGACTCTTATGAAATAGCCCTGTTTGTTATGGAATCATAGTTTCAATTATGAGGAATATTTCTTATAAAATAAAGTTAAATAAAGATTCCTTTTAAAAAAAATAAAAATTCCTATTCTTACATCATTTCCATCACATGTAACATTATCTCCTAATAGTACATTTGGAGGCTGAGTCTACATGTTCAGATGTCTGCATCTGCCTTTGTTTTAAAATTCCATATTCTTAATGCTTACTGGTCCACTGAGGACAGTGAGTACACCGCCCTGGAAGTGCTCTTCTTTTTCCACGCACAGACTAGAACCTTCATTCTGTATTGGAAACCCCTGAAGAGCCCAGTGCAGGCGCCCCTCTTGCCGCTCAATCATTCCATCCTGGGTACCATAATTCACACCTGTACTCATTTCTGAACACCTTTTGCCTCCATTTGGTGGTTTCATCAGTGTTCAGGGATCAGGAGCCAACAGCAGACAGGGCACCGTCCTGTGTTTGACTTAGCAATTATGTGAGCCTTAGTAAGCTCCTTTTAAAAAGGCTGTGCTAATGATCTTGTAATTGTTTTTATGGCTTTCTAATGAAGTGTGAAGAATACTGATAGCACGCTGACAAAGAATGGAGTAGAGCTCATGGCAGCCCCATGTAACCCTGCAGTTCAGTGTGGCAAGAGATGAAGGGAGAAGATTGGCATCAGCCTTTGCTTTCTAAAATATTTTTAAGAAAGATACCAAATTGTGTATTTGGTATAAAATACCAAAATATGCCCTGATAAAAAAAGAATTGGAGGGAAATACACCAAAATATAAATAACTGATTAATGGTGGTTATCCTGCATGGTGAGTGTATGAGAAAGTATTTTTTCATTAGGTATTTTCACAGTTTTTACAAGACATGTGTATTATATTTTAAAAATAAAAAATAAATTATGTAAAAATTCAAATTAAAATGTCTTTTAATAGAGGGAATACGATCATCCTTGTCTTTGTTTTCATCAGTAAGAAACATTTATTGGGAGCAGACTTCTCTGAGTGGAGCAGTGTTATTTTTTTCCTGGATGTGCATTTCATAGTAGCAAACTAGGGTCCTTTGTATATTTTATGTGTGCATCACATTTATACCCATTTTAATAGAACTTGAAACATAATTTTATTAATATAGTGTGGAGGTTTTGTAATTATTTTATGTTACCCTTTATTGTACTATTGATCCTGGATTAAGAAAAAAATCTAATTTAGCTCTGATCCTATTGGAGAATACTATGTGTTTTAAGAGCCAATACATCTTTTACCTAGTTTCTAGGAAGAAAAGAGGAACAAGTTTGTGGTCCATGAAAATTGAATCCAATTCTTTTATGACAAGGGAAGTACACCTTGTTTATAATAGTTTTTTTTAACATTTGTAGGTTATTACTGGAGTTCTTCGAAGAGCAGATGAGGTGAGCTTTAAAAAACTGAGTAATTGCATTTTAGCTTTTACTTTTCTGTTCTTTTTATCTCTCTTTACTTCTTTCTTTTACTTTTTCTTCCCATTTTATATTTTAAGGCAGGCCTAAGTTGTGCTTCCTCAGATTTTTGAAAATAAAGTACTGCTGCCTGTGTCACAGAACACTTTTATTGGCCCATGTGGACTTTTCTGCTTTGGTAATCTGGAGTATCCAATAGCTTTTACCAAGAGTTGTTTAAAATATAAAATTTTCCTACAGAATCTTTTCTTCAAAGGATTTCCTTCATAAATAAATTGTGGTATATTCATATACTGGAAGCCATGCAGCAGTTAAAATGAAGAAACTAGGTTTATAAATATTTACATGGTTAAATCTAAAAAATATTCAGTAAAAAAGCAGGTTGCCAAAGGTATGTTATACGTGTCTATAGAGTTTTAAAATTCAGAAAACAATACTACGCACTGTTTCTGGATGCCCAAATGTGTAGTAAAAGAATAACACAACCTCAGGATAATGGTTTCCTCTGCAAAGGGAGAGGGGAAAAGGATGAGAAGGGACTTCAGCTGGATCTGTATCATTTTATTTCTTAAAACATCTGAAGCAAATATAGCAAAATGTAACGTTCGTTAAATCTGGATCTTGGGTACATGGGTGTTTGTGACATTATTTTATGCACTTTTCTACAATCGTTTAAAACATTTTATAAATAACAACAAAAAAGATCCTTCCTAGTCCCTTTAGTAATAGTGGATTGTGCTCAAATAGTCTTTAGGAACCTTACAGTGTCTATTTATTTGTGGCATTTAATTAAGTCAGCTGCTATGTGATTACCTTCTGCTACTTGAACTTGCTTATTCTCTTTGCCTTATTGATACTTGAGATCGTTTATAAAGCATTTTCACCTGTCATCAGTTACTGTACAAATGTTAGATATTTTTAGTTGAATTTTATCTGCAACTTTTTCAAATAGTGTGACAACATAATACAGTTTCTGTCACAATAGTGTATTTATCTAATATTGTTAAGACCCTCATTTTCTTAACCAAATTTCTTTCAACCGGGTGCCTTTAATGAGTACCCAATATTTCTTCCAAATTCAAAGTCATGTTGTTTTCATGGGCTGTCTCATTCCAGAAATTGCTTATTTAGTATTACCTGATTGCTGGTCTAGGGGTGTGGGAAGGGAGATGAGGTGGTTGACCCAGGGTCCGATCTTTTGTCATAGTTGACGTATGCCTCTCTGTTCAGCCTGCTTTTCTGACCGTAATGATAAAACTTTCCTCTTCTTTTTCTCCCCCAGGCTACCTTCAGTAAGATTCCCATTGGATTTATCCCACTGGGACAGACCAGTAGTTTGAGTCACACCCTCTTTGCTGAAAGTGGAAACAAAGTCCAGTAGGTTGTCAATGTGGGATAGTAGCATTTGTGGGAGAGTGAGCGTGGGGATGGAAAATTCATATGTGTGATATAATAATTTTTTTTTAAGTTTCGATAGCCTAAAACTTCAAATCATTAAGAGGAGGACCTAGATCAGAGTTTAACCTTTCAGTTCATTGGGAATTTTTCCTCTTGAGTTGTGAGACCCTGGTGATCTAATATTAAGTCCCCAGGTCAGGTATGGAGATGAACACTGATGGCCTTTTGTCAGTTATGAAGGTGGCATCCCTGGTCCAAACTGGTTTTATGCTTTTACGTTATGAGATTCTCTAGTGAAGACAGATTTGCACGGATCATTTGTTTGCTTTAAATATACATGATGACAAATAACGAGTCCCTTGTGAAGCCTGAACTGGTAGCCTTGGCTTCATTATCTTGATAGTATAAGTAGCTAAAGCAACTAAATACAGTCATATCTTTTCGGAATGCCTACAGTGGAAGGCAGTCTAGACAAAGCAGACAGGCGAAACAGTGTACCCTCCATCTAAATTAAATTCCTGTGAGTCTAACAGTGTCTTCAGGAGTCAGGCAAATGTTATTATTGTTCTTTTCTCTTGAAAGCATTATATAAACAAAGCTCCAGTCTTGCAAGAGGATAGGAATCTTGAATCTGAGTCCTGGCTTTAACAGTGATTAATAATAATCTTGAGAAAATCGTTTTCAGGCTCTCATTGTCAGTTGCCTGAGCTCTAATGTAAGCTTTGCAACACATTGGGGGAGGTCAATAAACAGATATTTGTTGAATGAATTCATTAAAATCTTCTCATGACATTTCTGGTTATAACCTTCTAGAATCAATAACAATAATAATACTCAGGTGATTCTGTGTTTTGGATTTTTTTTCTGTTTTGGGATTTTGGTTAGGCTGGTTTTCGTGGATTTATTTTTGCTGTTGTGATTTTAAGAATCATATCTTTTAACGATTCTGTATATATTTTTTGTAAAAGTCTTGGTCCATATTGGTCCATAACATCAAACACTAGCCATAAACATAGACCTGTATCAGGCCTTCATTAAATGTCTCTCATGCTTCAAGCCTTCATCTAATGGGGAGTGTTCAGCTCTTCCGCAGTCATCCCGAAGCCTGATGTGGCGTTTCAGTTTGCCGTACTTTTTATTCCCAGTTTAGAACTTCTCAGGGTCAATAGATATGACAAACAATGAATTACTCAAACATTTTTGCTTATTGAGATAAATTTTATTGGTTTGGGTCTTGGTTACTGTACAAAGCTAGTCTTTCCCTTTGTGTCAATGTAGATTATTTGGATTGTTTAGCCAACATTCCCAAATATGTCCATGGTCCACAAGTAGACCATGTTCCTTGAAGAACCCCCACCTTATCCAAAAGCCAGTTTACACACGGTGTGGCAACCCTCAAGGTCTTAGATAGCCTTCAGCTTTTTGTGAGCCGATTTTCCCCTTTAGTTAAACTAATGTTGTTGCTGCTTCTATTTATAATTTAAGGATTTATAAAACTTAATTTATAAGCATACCCCAGGGCTCTTAGGTAATTAAGTAAGTCGGCCCTGGATTCAGAATTTTGAAGACCTCTTAACATGGCAGATGCCTAAGGCTATTTAAAAGAACAAGGAAGGCTTTGCTTTTTGCATTGCTGTCAAGATTTGTTGTACCATAATTACTACAGTAGGAAAAGGAATCTTGAATTTGGAATGTTGCAGGTAAATAATCCTAAAAAATAGCTGTTTTGTGTTACAGTGCTGCTTTATTTAGAACTTTCAGTTATTGCTGGAGAATGATAAATTTAAGGTTGCATTTTAGCTGTCTTCTGCCAAATAATTTTGAAAAAAAAATTAATATGAAAAGGCTTTTTCAGTTGCAATGTTTTTTTTTTAAGGTCAGTCTCTCAAAAGCATTTCCTAAATCTCTTCATGTGCAAGGTACTACTCAGAGTAGGGACAGTGCTTTAGGATCCTTTCTACAGATTCCTTCGGAATTAGTATATTCATATCAGATTAATCTATACTTGTGATCATGGTTCTTGCTTTTTCCTATATTGAATTTCATTTTCTGAACTGCTGCCTACTTCCCAGATAGCATCCATATTGGAGGGAAAAAATGGGATAAAGGCGTGTTGATAGGGAAATATGAGAAAGTAAAATAGGCTGTTTCTTACGTTTCAGCTTGCTTCCTAGGGAACCCAGAACATAATCCAAGCATTTGAGTTAACGTGTATATTCTGGGGATTTTAAAGCATCTTAAGTTGTACCTAACTTTGTTGGCAACACTGATTCAAGTGGATGTGATTCCTGACTTCGGTGTTTACATTTTAAGCCTGATCACACTGATGGGGAGGCCTGTAGAGCCTGTGGGGTTGCTCTTTGGAAATCTCTGGTTATCCGTATGGTACGTCCAGGGCAGCCTCACCAGGTGAAGAGAGCACACGTTTGGAATTAGAATGAAGTCAGATTTCGTTTTGCCCCATGCTTACTCTGTCACCCTGGGAATTTTATTGAATCTCTGTGAGCCTGTTTCCTCACCTGTATTTATCAAATGCACAATAATAGTACTGACTTCAGAAGATTGTTAAAAAGCCAAAATAAGGACTAGTTAGGTAAACATGTAATTGTGTCTAGTAAACTACCTGATATATTGAAGATTTTATGCATAATTATTGAAAATTCATTTAGGATGGAAAACAGTAACTAACAAATAGGATAATTGTACAATTACTGATTCCAGATTCTATAGTTAAAACAAATATACACATATCAAAGAAGATAACCCTCTATTCTATTGCTAACTGTTATACCTAAAGAAGTTTTGTTTTTGTTTTTTAAAAAGGAGAGAACATTTTATAGAGATTCCGATCAGTTACCGTGGAAAGGTGACTTTTCCTACCAAATTCACATTGTTAACCAGAACTGTACAGAACAGAATAGATTAGGAGAAGCCATATTAGGAGAGAAACTATACTTTTTTGAATGGAAATTAATTTCTAAATGACTCTTATAGTTATACTTAAACTCTAGACACAATAAATCTTTTACTAGACTAATAATTACTATATTTTTCTAAAATATAACTATACAACAACAATAAAGGCAATAGAATACTAACATTGCTAAGCCTTTACAAAAAACATGAACTACTTAGGGATAAATCTAACAAAATATGTGTAAGATTTATATGCTAAAAACTACAAAATGTTGAAGAGGAATCAAGAAAACCTAAATAAATGGATAGAGATGTGTCTGGATTTCAGAAATCAATATTTCAAGACTCAATAGTCTTCAAGATCTATTTCAAGATCTATATATTCAGCACAATGCCAAAGTTCCAGAAGACTTTTTATAGAAATTGACAAGTAAATTCTATAATTTATATGGAAAAATAAAGGAACTAGACTAGCCAGAATAATTCTGAAGAAGAATAACAAAGTTTAAGGACTTAACCCTTTCTGATTCCAAGACTTACTCTAAAGCTACAGTAATCAAGACAGTGTGGTATTGGCAAAAGAAGAGACACGTAGGTCAATAGAAGAAAGTGTTCAGAATCAGGCCCACACATATATGGATGCTTGATTTTTTGACAAAAGCTCCAAGACAATTCAGTGGAGAAAGGACAAGTTTTTCAACAAACAGTGCTGGAACTATTAGATAACCACAACTCATACCTCATACTGTATATAAAAATTAACAGGAAATGGATTATAGACCTATATGTAAATCCTAAAACTGTAAAGCTTCTAGAGGAATATCTTTGTGACCTCAGGTTAGGCAATGATTTCTTAGATAGGACACAAAGAGCAGAAAACTAAAAGAAAAAAATGATAATTTAGACTTCTGCAAAATTTAAAACATCTATTCTTTGAAAAGCACTGTTGAGAAAATGAAAAGACAAGCCACAGACTGGGAGAAAACATTTGCAGGACACGTATCTGATAAAGGACCAATATCCAGAATACACAAAGAACTCTCACAACTTCATAATAAGAAAACAAACAGTCTAATAGAAAGAAGGGCAAAACATTTGAACAGACACATCACCAAAGACATAGACGGCAAATAAGCCTATGAAAATATGTTCATCGTTAGTCGTTAGGAAAATGCAAATGAAATCCACTATGAGATGCATCTATTAGAATGGCTTTTTAAACAGACAAACCAAACAAAAACTGACATCATCAAGTGCTGGCAAATACACAGAAAAACTGAAATTCTCGTATTGCTGGTGGAAATGCAAAATGATATAGCTGCAGTGGAAAACAGTTTGGCAGTTTCTTATAAAATTAAACATATAAGCAGCAATATAGGTATTTACCTAAAAGAAATGAAGACACATGTCCATACAAAAACCTGTACATGAATGTTTATAATGGCTTTATTTGTAACTGCCAAAAAACTGGGAACAGTACCAATGTCCATCAACTGGTGAATGGATAAGCAAATTGTGGTATGTCCATACAGTGGAATACTACTCAGCAATAAAAAGAAACAATCTGTTGATACATCCAGCAACACGAATGAATCTCAGTCTCATGCTGAGAGTTTAAAAATGCTGAACTGGAAAGGCTCCATACTTTTTAATTCAGTTTATATGATAATCTGGAAAATGCAACGCTATGGAAGAGAAAATAGACAGTAGTTGCCAAGAGCTGATGGTAGGGAAAGTGGATTGGCCACAAAGGACCAAGAAGGAACTTTTTGGGATGTTGGAAACGTTATATATCTGTCATGGTGATAGTTACGTGACTGAAGGCATTCATGAAAATTTGTAAAACAGTATACCTGAAAGGATGAAATTTACTGTGTACAAATTATATCTCAATAAATCTGACTTTAAAAAAGAATTTAAATATTAAACTAGTTCTTTCAAACTTAGGTACTTCTGCTTGCACAAGTAAGCACTAGGGAAAAGCTGTTAGTTTCTCCTCGATTTGGTTCACATTGATGTGACCTTCTGTGGCTACTCTCTCATTGTTCATTCTAATTATATCTACTGACCCTTGTACCCCACCATTACAATTCATTCATCTGGGACAATTTGAGTATCAGTAAGGCTAATTACTATAATGTATTGAAACAAAAAATATATTTAAATCTACTTATGAGTTCATAATGATACTAAGAAAAATAAAAATGAAAAACTCATTGGTCACTTTTAGAGGATATTAGGGAATCAACTTATTATTTTGCAAATTGGTAAAGTAAAAAAAAAAAAAAAAAAAATTCAAGCATTTATCCTGATTTTTCTCATATGACTTGTATTTCAGGGTACCCAAATTGTTGATGAGATGAAGTTTCTCTTTGTGGACCAGATAATAAATTAGAAGGAATAATAGAATTAAAAGATCACCATTTTGCAACTCTCTGTTAATTAATAAATCTAGCCAAGGATTATCAATGGTTGCTTCCATCACAAAAAGAGAGCCAACCAGATTTTATGTACTTACTGATGGAAGTACACACTGTCACCTATGAAGTATTCTGGCCAAACACTCAAAGCTGAATCGGATACAGATTTTCAGAAAATGCAGGGAATGGAGACACATGTTAATACCATGGGGATGCAATCAGTAAAATCCAGATTGTTAGAAACTCAATAAGACAACCCATTTCTTTAAGAAGTAGGGAAAAGAAAAGGAGAGGGAGTCTGTGGATTAGAAAAGACTTGAGACATATAAACCAATTGCAATGTATAGATTTTATTTGGATCCTGGTTTGAACAAAGAAACTGAAAAAATATATATAAGACTTAATTGGGTAAATTTCAACATTGACTAAATATATGTTGATATAAAGGAATTATTTAAGTGTTTTAGATATGACAATGGCATTTTATTTTTTTTTAAAGAGCTGTCTTTTAGAGATACGTAAGGAAATATTTATGGGTGAAGTGTTAAGATATCTGGGATTTGCTTTGATACAGATTGAGGGAAGTGAGTGGGGGATATGAAAGGAAATAAGATTGACTGTGAGTTGATAATTGTGGAGGCTGGATGAGGAGTATATAGGAGTTCATGATACTATTCTCTGTACTTTTTTATATGCTTGAAATTTTATAGAATAAAATCATTTATTCATCAAATGTTGATTGCCTGTTATGTGCCATGCACTGTGCTAGGTGTAGGTTTTATATTGGTTAATAAATGGATGTAAATTATTTGTAACCTTGTGGAACTTTCAGTCTCCAGGAGGAGGCAGATGATACAGATGTAAATTAAAAAATATATATTGTAAATTGTGATCAACTGTGAAGGAAAATGAACACAGTTCAGTGATAGGGAATTATAGGAAAGGACCTCTCTAGGCTAGTTAGGGTAGATGGTGACATTTCAGTCAAGATCTGAAGGATGGGAATAGCCAGCCATGCAAAGAGACAGCGGATAGGTGACAGGAGGGGTGTACATGCTAGGCGAGGAAAGTGTTGATGTGGGTTTACTCGTTCTGTCTGCTCCAAGAGCAAATATCTTATTGTCTGGCCACTTGTTGATTTAATGTGTCTTTTTCTGACTATCTGTGGTGCGTTAATATGTGTCTGACCTTGGTTCTAATTAGAGTATGAACCCTAGAACTGCTTCTAAGCCTGGCATACTCCACATGCCATGAATGGATGTCAATAGTACATGCCTTTTTCACCTGTAGACTTTTCAACTGATGATCAGAATGTAGATAGAAACAGTCTTGTGTCTGTGAACAAAAGAATCAGCAATTAAAATGAAGTACATCCTAGTAATCCTGGAAAGGAAGAGAAATATGTCTTGGGTTCAGGATTATATTTTGCTGAGGTAACTACAACAAATCCTGTCCTTTAGTTACCCTTTGGGTTATTAGAGTAAAAAGAAGTATGGTTTTTTCAAGTGCTTGACTTTCTTGTAATGAATGAAAGATATTATTATGTTATTATGTATTTGAGTATCATATTTTCCAGTGATGAGAGTGAGGCACAATGTAGAGACCCAATAAATGTGAAGTAAATAAAGGATTGGTGTCTTGTATAGACTTCTCTTTGCTAAGCCTTCCCTTTGAGTCTGTATCAGAGCCTTCCATGATATTTGTATCAGTAATTCTTTTGTACTCCTTTATTCTGCTCTCTGGGAGTATTTTGAAGGAATAAATCTTTTTCCTGACCCAACTATTAGTACTTTTGGCAGGAATCTGGCTGTGTGTGTGTGTGTGTGTGTGTGTGTGTGTGTGTATGTTGGGGGGAGGCGTTGCTTATTTTTCACAATATGATCATTTCCTTCTTGCTATCTTTTAGACACATTACAGATGCTACACTTGCCATTGTGAAAGGAGAGACAGTTCCACTTGATGTCTTGCAGATCAAGGTAAAGTCTTTTCTTCAGAGTTTTAAAAAATTAACAAAGTAATACACATGTACATGTTAAAGAAAGTAAAATGTAGCAGTTCAAATGAGATTATAATGAAAACAATAGTCCCTCTTCTTACCCTTTCCTATCCCAAATATAACTCCCTAGGGAAAAATAATTTTACCAGTTTATTCTAGTTGTTATCACTAATATTAATATGCTCATGATGCTATTTTTTTGAATTATGGTAAAAAAAACCCCACAAAACATGAAAATTACTGTCACAACCATTTTTAGGTGCCCAGTTCAGTACTGTTAAGTATATGATACTACTTTTTGATTTATCCGTTTTAGACCTTATCTCTTGGCCTCTTTGTTATCAGAATTCCTCTGTATCTCCTTTCAATATAGTTGTATCACTATTTTTAGTTCCTCTATTGATTACCTTGAGACTTCAAGTAATTTCTGTATCTCATATGGTTGTTTTGAGTATTAAAAGAGCTAATAAATGTCAAGCACTTAGGACAATGACTGATTTCACCTTACCTGTTTGTATTGTGGCCACCTCTTTCTCCTATGCTCTGCCAAAGGTGAAACCTTTCTCATGTCCCATCTGACCTTTGGAGGGGCTTGTCTTTGGAATTCAGGTTACTTTGTTGCCTTGCAATCTCAGCTCTCTGATGGGCTTAAGAAAAATTATAATTTTGTAGATTATCTGGCTTTTTCTTATTTTTAGGCTTTTCTTATTTTTATTTCTATGTTCTTTGTAGCTTCCTACAGCCTAGATGGGAGCAGAACTTCCCATTTTTCCATTGGGTTGTCTAACATTTTCTTACTGATTTATAGATGAACTCATGAATTGTTTTTGCAGTACATTTGCTGGCTATGCCCACTGAAAGGGTTTAGAAGCAATGATGCTCAACAGCAATGAGCGTACCTGGCACCCAGATTTTGGTCTCTAAATACCATTTCCTAATAAAAGGTACCAGGATCCTGTGAAGGGATGGCTTTCAAAGGCAGGACAAGAACAAGGCAAAGAACTACTCAAAAACTGATGGAGACAACATAAGAAGACGTAGGAGGCAGCCTGATGGTATCTTACTGGCCAATTTTGGGGCAGTTTGAACATCAAAAAAAATAATGTTAATGGATTAATATACATTAAATAAAAATGAAGACTCTGAGTCCGCAGTTATATTATAGAAGAATCACTGGCTTATAAATGTAGAAGAAATGATAGAGTTAGAGAATTACCATTTTGCAATCACCAGTGAAATAATTGATTCAGGCAAAGATCATCAATGGATACTAAAACCATTGGATAAAAGGTTGTTGGGAAACAAATATCCACATAGTCTCAAAGTATCACAGATTACTTAATAATTACAAAGGAAAAATATGTCTTTATAGTAGAGAAATCGAGCATATATACCACTTTAACCAAGTGATCAAACTTCACATCATCAGTAGTGGGACAGACAGACATTATCTGCCTCCTTATGTGATATATTGAGAAGGAGACAGCATCACCTGTGTAGTTTCCTGCCCAAAACATTAACTAATCTGAATATAACTGAATCTAATAATGAGAAAATAATCAAATCCAAATTCTGGGACATTGTAAAAAACAACAATCCGTCTGGCCTCTTCAAAAATGTCAATGTCATGAAATCCGAAAGAAGGTACAGATTCTGTTCAAGATTAAGAGAAACTAAGAAATATCATAATTAAATCCAGTATGAGATTCTGGAATTGGAAAAATAAAAATAGTGACAACCGTAAAAGATATTATCAAATCAGAGATGTTTTAATATGGACTACATATTAGATACTATATGTTGATGTTAGATTTCTTGAGAGTGATGATGGTATTATGATTATGTTTTTATATGTCCTTGTTCTTAGGAGATGCAGGTGAAAGGTCGTGAAGTCTACAATTTATTTGCAAATGATTTAACAATACTACAAACTGTATATACATACACAGATAAAGCTAATATGGGGAAATGTTGGCAGTTGGTGAATCTGGGTGAGAGGTATAAATGGTGTCCATTATACATATAAAACATTTCTTGGGGGGCCATCCCAGTGGTCTAGTGGTTAAGTTCGGTGCACTCTGCTTTGGCGGCCCAGGTTCGGTTCCTGGGCACAGACCTACACCACTCATCGGCGGTCATGCTATGGCGGTGACCCATATACGAAATAGAGGAAGATTGGCCAGATGTTAGGGCGAATCTTCCTCAGTAAAAATAAACAAACAAATATTTTTTGGTTTGACATTTTATCAAAATAAAAATTTTGGAGGAATGAAAACCCAATAGCCATTCCAGATTCTTGATTAGAATCTTCTCTTAAAAAGGGTTTAATTCCTAGAAAAAAGATATTCTCACTGGGTAGTAATTAAGTAGCTATTCCTTCTTCATCTAAACTACTCCTCATCCCCTCATCCTCCACCCCCCACCCCCAGAAAGACAGATTCCTAAGAAGGCTGAGCCATGAAGTCAAATAATCCTGTAAACAGTGAGCCCTGTGTGCTTTACTCAGATTTAGCCCTAAAGTGTGCCAGCTGCATTCAGGTTGTCCTCCAAAGGCTATGAACATTTTATGTCCATTCGAATTTCCTGATACCTGTGAAAGAAGGGTCCATGCTGTGTCATGAGTCCAAACTTCAACCCTAAAATGTCACTTTTAGTTATATAGCATTTACTGTATGCATATTTACGATTGGTGAACCAATAGCTTGCAGCCTATTTTCCTTTGTTCTTCATGCAGTGATGTTTGGACTCTCCACCATGACCTCATTGGTCACGATAAAAGTGATTTAAGTTGCAATTGATCCTTTGGATAATAAAGCTAAATCGTGCTCACAAAATGGAAGTGCCGTGCTGAAAGAAATTCTATCCTAGGAAAGGTACTAGATCGACATCACTATGAAGATGTTATTTGAAAATATTGTTATTACCAAAGGAGGTGAATCAGGATTGTTCTCTTAATAACTGAGTGATTTACTGTCTCTTGTATATGTGTGAGAAGTAATCCATTCCAGAGTAGTTAGGATTTAACTGGAAATTCTTGATTGTGCTTGTATTTAAATATCCCTTGTCTCCTTTATCTTTTTCTTTCAAATATACTGATTTTGTGAATTGATGAAACCAGTATCGCATTTGCCATAGGCTCTGTATATTCATGACACAGCCCGGGAAGCAGAAAACTTTTAAAATCAATTCCTAGAAAATGTAGTACAACAGCCTCTACTGTGGTTTCTGAGGCACCCTGCTAAGCTGAACTCGTCTTCTCTTTTTTCCTTATTTTTGGAAATTGCTTTCAGAATATGGGGAAAAGCATTATAGATAAAGCCTGATACCAGATTCTTCTTTTAAAAAACAAACTCAAACCCAATTAAACATGTAACTGAAGATTCTCCAAAGATAAAAGAAGTAGTCCTTGGAAGCTGTAATAAAACTTTATATATTTAGCTTTTTACATTGTTAGTGTGTGTTCACATCTCATTTGGACCCACAACTCAGGGAGGAAGGCAAGGTGTGTATTAATATGTTCATTTGACAGATTAAAAAAAATTATCTGGTCGTATGACTAGTTGCGCTGGAGACAGAAATAGAATCTAGATTTTCTGTCTTATGGTCCATTGCTTTCTCCACTTCACGCTTTGTCCAGGTGGTGTCACTCCTGGCACCATCCCATGATTTTTATAGGGCATTTTTCCCCTGCAGACGTCCATAATGCCTACTACTTGACTTTAAAGTAATTACTGGAAAGATTTATGGAATTCTCTCTAGTTCTTTCTTTTTGCTGTTTCAGTCAGACTCTTGGATACTGCCCACCCAGAACCAAATGAGGAGGATGGGGAGGTGGTGAGAAGTCAGAGTCTCTCCCTTTCCCCTGTCTGTCATTCCTGGCTCATTACATGGCTTCCTTCTGTTAAAACCCTAACTCTGACAATTCTCTTAAGACGATACTTAGAGCTGCTTAGAACCCCTGCAGGCTCCTTCTACCTTGTTTCTTGTTTCTTTTCTTCATCTAGAATCCCTAAAATTCCTACATTAGGCACCTCTCTAGTTGACAGGAATTGTTTTCTTTTCACTGTCCCTTAAGCTTGTATTCCAACCACCTCTCCCAGTGATTTTCCTCTGCAAACCACTAGGCCCTTTTCTCTCGGGGATTTACTCTTTCCAGGGGATCTATGACTTGGGGCAGCATATCTCCTTTGCTGTTAAGACCTGGCTGTGTGCCTGTCTTTCTGTATCTGTTCTTGTTTACTGACCTATCCATCTCATAATCTTGACTCTCACCCAGACTTCCGTTGGGCTAGGATACAGTGGTACTTTGTCTATTGGCTTCTACTCTGTCCATCTGAACTTGCTTATTTTTTCTGTGCTCGTGTGAACCCCAGCAGGGACTATCAGTCTCTCCATTGCTGACTCTGAATCCTGGGGGCTCTGTGCCCATCTACTTCTCTAGATCTTTCACGCTCGTTTCCTATTGTCCAGAGCCATTCTCACCCTTTGCTAGGATATTGCACCCCAAATCAATGGAACCTTAAGGTTACAAGGCTTTTCAGTTAATCTTAACAGAATAGTCCTAAAATTCTTCCCCCCAGATGAAGAAAGAGAAAACAGTCTTAGAGCAGCAGTCAGGAGGTCTTGAGTACTTATCCCAGCACTTCTTGCCTACACTACATGCTTTAGAACAGCATCTCCCAAGGAATATTAGTTATGTAGAATGTCTTCCCAGAGAAAGGTTGCACAGTTAACCACTCAGGAAGCTGTATATTGTATTTCTCCTTTTGGAAAGTTATAATGTACATTAACTTATTAAAGACTCTAAGAAGAACTGCAGTAAACATAACTTGTTTCAAACCAAATAAGTTTGGTATTTCCCAACTTATTTCACCTTGGACTCTTCTAGCATCATCATCATTATTCCTAGATGTAACACTTATTAACATCTTAAGAAACATTTGAGAAATCCTCCCGTAGATACAGCAAACTCATGTAGTG